TTCCACAAAAGGAAAAGTTCACACAAAGACCATGATGACTATCTCTTATTTAAAATTCTGTGTTGTGGTTGGCATTTTTTTTACCTCAATAATAAGAGATACGCCATTTTCAGAAAGCATCTTGAATTCAGAAAGATTAAAATGACGTGGGGGGGGGGGATCTTAAAACCAAGAAAATGTAATATGTAAGGCCAAGAGCAAGTTCATAACTTAAGGTGAGCACCACAACCACCTAGAAAGCCACAGTATCTACAAAAGAAGAAAGTATATTTCTTCTTACATGGGAAGCCAGGCCCTTAGGAGGCGGCTTGTCACCCTGGAATCAAAGTGCTGACGGCCTGGTGCAATCTATCTTCGACACCTGAGCGAGCCTGAGTTATACTCTTCCGCAGACCGCAAGGAAGCGGGAGCCTTTTTCCTCCCTTTCATAACAGAACAAGTTTCCAAGTGACTCCATCTTTCATGTATGTTTACTTTAACAGAGTGATAGTCACATCTTACTCTGTCCACAGAGTCAGGTTTATATTCCTGATGGTTCTGAAAAGTTCTGCTTTGATACACTGCAGTTTGTTATTAAGTCTCAGAAGAAAAGAGTAACTTAACTCTTCAAGTTCCATCTCCTCCAGGTACACATGCACACACATTGTACCACTTACCAATAAAACAAAGATTATCTTAAGCACAAACCTACTACCCTCAATTACAGGAGGCTAAAATAAAAACTGAAATTTATAGGACACAAAACATGCTATGATCTAGTGAACTTTAAAGACCAATAAAATCAAGTCTAAGAATTTGCCAACAGTATTTATTTCATTTTTTGGTTTTGGTTCTAAAACACTTTAGAAGATGAGGATAAAGGAATGAAGAGACTCTGCTGGGGCGCCTGAGTAGCTCAGTCGGTTAAGCGGCCGACTCGATTTCGGCTCAGGTCATGATCTCATGGTTCCTGAGTTCGAGCCCAACATCAGGCTCCGCTCTCACAGCGCGGACCTGCTTTGGATCCTCTGTCTCCCTTTTTCTGCCCCTACCACGCTTACACTTTCTCTCTCTCAAAAATAAACATTAAAAAATTTAAAAAAAGAGAGAGACTCTACTATGGTCATAAAATCTGTATTGGGTTCACAGACTACATAATGAATTACTAGTTCTATAAACTAAACAATGAAGCACACAAATAAAGGGGAAAGTATATGAAATAGGCAGTGATGAGGGACAGAAGCAGAAAAACATTCACCTTTAGCCCAGAAGACGGACCTATAGACTAGATAGTTCTGATAAGGATCAAATGCTTACTGGCTGCTACATTCTTAAAGGGTCTCATGACTGCCTGTACATCTCACCAATAGTTAAAATCAAGCTGAATTATAAGCACCAGAGAAATCTTGCAAAAGTGGTTTTACAAGTAGAAATTCAAGGAAAACATTTATGATCTAATACTTCCTGCATGTTCCCTCCCCCCTGAAGACTAAGCATAGAACTACATAGAATCAGCTTCATACAGAAGTGCAGCTCTTTCTGCCCACAGGTCCTGTCCCTGTGCTACTTAAACAAATGTACTAAGGTGCACTGTAAAACGTCTCAAGAATTCTTTCTTAACCGGCACAGAATGCTCAATAATCCCGCAACAGGCAGTCCTTGACTTAAAGGCAATCTATGTAGATTAATGCTGATTGTGGCATTATGAATTTTTTTTTCCACCCTGCCAAAACACCACCTGCAATACATAACCACTCACATCATTCTGAATCATTCTCTGCCAGACTGCCTTGAGCCTCCTACCTGAACCTCTGCTGAGACAGCTGCTTAAACCAAGGGCTCCCACCTAGCCAATTTTCTTCTTCAGTTACCAGGACTTAGGTATTTGGATATAGTATTACAGATTAAAGGAAAAAAAAAATTAAGAGAATCATTGTGAACTAGTCTGGAAACCAAACCAACATTTCGAATACCATCTCTGGGAGTATAAATCTGGAACTCCAAAACACCAGCTTATATTCAAATCTCAAATCTCTGAAAGTCATCCTAGAGTTTGACTATAAATATATCCAGCCTGAAAAACAAGCCCAACTAATCTCCTCGCTGTGCATATCTATAGACAGTTAAATTAACATACATTTAACAAATAAATTTCAAAATTTCAGATGTCACTACTCTAGGAAAGGCTGTAAAAGATATACATTAATAAGCACTATGCTGCATAAAACTCTCACTTGAGTATCAATGCAATTTGCAGGCCCCATCTCTCTGATGCCAGAATCAGTTGTTTAGGAATTCAAATATGAAGTGTTAAGAAGCCCAGGTGACTAAAAGGACCGATTCCCTTTCACTGATTCTCGGACTCATCCTGCTCTAAACTTCATAGTAAACCTAAATGCCTAGTTTAGGTGTTAAAGAGGCCAATTTTCACAGAGTCATCACCTGTGATAGATGAGCTTCAGGAGACTGAAGGGTAACAAAACATGCTACGATAAAATAAGCCTCTCTGGCATAAGGATTAAGATGACTAAAAAACGACAGACACAGGAGAGACCCTAAACACAGTAAAAGTTATCTTTTTGTAAGGGAAATTTAAATTTATAAAGGAAATCTCCATTTGTAAGGGTGTCTCCCTTTTACACCAGGAAGAAAAGGTTGACTCCAAATCGTAAGGGAATATTACAAGAGAATCTTATCAATGGAGAAGGCACAGGACTTAAATATGCATAACAAACTACTAGTTTACCAGGATTTTCCTGGAAACCTTCCATAACTAGGAAGGAACCCTTCCTAACCCTAACCTTCCATAACTGAAGAGGGTGTTTAAACCCACATTCTAAACCAGGCTCATTTCTCCCAGGGTATCTCCCATACATACCAAGACTTAAGCATGTTACATTTTTGTTTGTTTTTCTCTTGTCTTTTACTAGAGGTCTCAGCCAAGAGCTCAGACGGGTAGAAGGATTATTTTTTCCTTACCTACAGGGCTCTGCCCTCAAAACTGTAGCGGAAGAATTCCCACAGACTGTGATGAGGAGGCATATTATCAATCACTCATCACTCTCTAACCTAAATCAAAACTCCACCTTCTTTCACCACAGCTGGCCACTGTCCAATTTTAAAACTTCAAGAGCTATGAATAATTTTTAGAAGAAGCTGTTTTTGCTTTTTGTTTTGAATGTTTATTGACAGTTAATATGTATTTAACAATTTAAAACGTTTCAGATCCACCTACTGTGAAGCAGGCAGCGATTCTTAAAAGTATTTGCAACTTTATTTGCTTTTCACATTAAGTTACTGACTTCCGAACTGGAATACTGTCAAATATTTGAAACCTAAATCCTTGGTTTACAGTGTTCAACAATAAAAATTGAACTGAGTAAATTTTAAAGATTTAATTGGCTTTATTAATCAATTCATGAATTAGGCAGTATCCTCTCTAGCAAGTAGAGGGGAGCTCCAAAGGGCTGCAGGAAAGGATTCTAAGAGGTAAAAAGAGAGGGGAAAAAAAGAAAATTATTAGAAAAGAACCCATTGCCTAGGGGAACTGAAGGAGTGTATCAAATTTCCTAGTGCTGATCAGGAAATTCTCATGGTGACTGGTTAAAGGTTACGTTTCTGGGGGGCTGAAACTGCAGTTAGATTAGGTATTAAGTCTTGGTTTATTGACTTGGTGCTTTAAGCTAAGTGACACCATTATGGGCCTGTGGGTTCCTTTTTAACAACAGTGTGCCCAAGCAGAAGGTTACATCTTGGTTCTTGAAGACATCTTTAAGACACCAAATACATGATCTAGTAAAAAACTTTAATGACTTGAGCATAGTTAAATCGGGAAATTAAAAACTGCCAAATATCAACATTCATAGACCATACTGTACATACGTTACACAAAAAGTCAATGTACAGGATACTGAGGTTGTGTGCAAATACACACAAAGGAAATACATTTGTGCTTTCAAAATTGAAGGACAGACTCTTGACATTCAAGGGTATTTATTTCTAAGACACTGGTAATAAACATCATAATTTTGGAGGCTAATGATAAGATAATGGAGTACAAACGAGAAACAAGCCCAATCATTTCACCTCAAATTCTGAACCTGAATGAGAATTCTTTTTATTTTTTAAGTAACTGAATTTCAACTATATTATGCAAAGTAGCCCATTCAATTTCACAATGCAGAAAGGTCTAAATATAATCAACAGGTACATTTACTATTCAAAGGAATTGCTACAATCTCCTTTTACTTATTCATTGGAAAATAAATGGGAAAAAGAGTTCTATTGTCACTACAATAATAGTGTGGCTGAAGCCCTACCTTATTAGAGAGAGATTCCTAAATCAGTCTGCAAAAAAGCTAGTCAGGGTAACATGTTCATTTCAATTTTAAAGTCTACCTTCCAACCCCCAACATTTTATAGTCTGACAAGAAACCTCAGATTCTTAACTAAGTGCTGCTGCATTGATTAACCTGTGGCTGATGCTGGGCTGTACTGACCCACTTCTGTTTTATTCACTGCTGTATCCCAAGTTCCTAACACCACACCTCATACTCCCAAAGGTGCTCAAAAGACATTTGTTGAATGAAGTCAACCTTTCACAGTTCACTGGTATTCTTCCGACTCACTCTATTTCAAACCAAAATTACATTTGAAAAATTCCTGAAAATTTCTTGCAGGCATTTGAAGTTTGTCTACTTAGGAAATTTTTTAAAAAGCTCTCACTCGTCCTTTATTTCATTCCATTTACTTAAAATTAGGAATGAACCGTGTGATCATTTTTTAAGCCTATTTCAAAATGTACCAAGGTTACACTGAAAAATCTTCCCCAGGATTTTGAAGGTCTTGGGATTGTGGTCAGGAAAGAGCAGTAAAGCCAGAGCACCAGACCTATAACTGAAACACCAGTTAGCTCCAGGGCTCATAGACGGTCATTCCTTCGCCTTTTAGATTTTATCTGAAACATAAAAATCATAAAATCTAAGGTCATTCTAAAAAGCATTTCAAAGCACTGGACTTACCATTATAGGTTATTCTTGGCTTTGTTAAACACATCACAAGATGCAAATCCATTTCATCTGACGGTACAAATTTTGAGCATACAGGGCACTTAAATCCTAAAAAGTAAAAGAAACCCATTTTACTTAATTATTCTGAATGTCCAATTCTGTTTTTTAATAAAGTACAGAAGACTAAAAGCATTTCAAATTTCAGTATTACACGTACAGTAATATACTACTTAACCGCAAGTTCGTTTGGGAAAAGGGTTTGTAACTATAATATCTGACTTAAATCACTTTACAAAGACCATCCCATATCAAATAAAACAAGTACAAATGAGAAGAAGTAGGCTCACTACAAAACTCCCAAATCTTTTTCTAATGTATGGGTCCAATCATTTTTGTTTCTAATTTTTTCCTTTAACCTGGACTTATCATTTCGTGGAAATTACCTTTCCCAGCTTGGTAGAGCACAGTTTGAATCCCAAGGTTTTATTGCTAGACGGTACTTTAGAAACTATTCTACTGCACTGATCTTTTAAAAATTATTCTGATGAAGAAAGTCAAAAATCAGCAAAATCAGGTCTAGAACCTAAGACGCCCGTCTTCCAGTATCGTGATCTGTCACACTATGCTACTCAAGTCACAATGCAAACAGAAAAAAGCATCAAACAGAGCAGATTTCCCAGTCAATTTCGACACTTAAATATTAGCTTGTTTCCTACCATATTCAATCTATACTACTAAGTATTTGCTTAAAGCGGTCTATTAAAAATGAACTGGTATACCGAAGAGAGAGTATGTTATGTATTCAGTTCTATCCTGCTCCCTGACTTCCCAGGGGACTGTCCCATCGCTGGTTCCTTGCTGTCCCCTGCTGCCCTACAGTTCCCTCAACACCCCTACACTGCTTGAGCAGCACTGGACACCTGATTGTAGACAGCCAATTAATACTTCAGGGCTAAGAACTACAAACCAGAAGTGGCACAAAAAGATGGTCTGGGCCAATCTGTTTTTCTTGGAAATATGACAAGAAATGGCAAGAGAGTACACACTGGTCAGGTGTAAAGAGCTGAAGCAGAAAGGTCACATGTAGGTAAAAGAGAGCCCAGTGGCTCATGTGTAAGCTGAGCTTACAAGAGAATAGCAACTATCAGCCAGCGAAGGACAAGGGTTTGCATGGAGATCCCAGAGCAGATGTGTAGAGAGGAGCAGAAGCACAGTGAGAGACCAAAGGTAATAAGAAGGGGAGTGACAGAAACCAGTCCCTAAGGTAAGGCTGCCTCAGAGTCTGACAGCTCTGTACTTCTGGCACATGTGTGTTCTTAGAGGCACTCTCCTCCCTTCATCGTGACTCAAAACTTACTGTGACCAAATGTGTCAGACTAGACTCATACCTCATGCACAATTTTGTACAAATTAGGAAAAGGTTTTGGCGTGGGTACTTAATCCAGGTATTCAACTTCCTAAATGAAATAAATGCTACTGAACACCATTTTTCACATTGTATTCAATGTATTTTCAAAGAACATACATTTTTTTCTTTTAGTAAAATGCACTTAATACAATGTGAAAAAAACGTATGTAAATGTATGTTTACTGCCCCTTCTTGAAAACCACCAAAATGAAAAAGAAAGAGGAAAGAAATCCGTCTAAAATGAAACTGCAGGAGCACCTTGATGGCTCAGTCGTTTAAGCATCTGGCTCTTGATTTCGGTTCAGGTCATGATTTCACAGTCAAGAGATCAAGCTCCACATCAGGGGTGGAGTCCGCTTAAGATTCTCTTTCCCTCTGGCCCTCCCCCGCTCCCACTAATAAGTAAATAAGAAACTGCAAAATAGCTATAACCCCCCAAATACAGAATATACCAATACAAGGAAACTTAGATCAAATGGGGAGAAGACAGAGACTCTCAAGTAGCATTCATATTTCCAGGACCAACTATCTATCTTTCACTTGGAACTGTAAAAACTTTCTTCCCTTGAGGTTTTCAACAGGACATACAAGAGGGCAAGAGGCCAGTTTTTTTAACTACTGATGAGAATCACCTGAGTATAGGCACATAAACTCTAAATTATCAAAGTACAATACTGTGAACTACTGAGAGCCATCCAACTGCCACAAAGTAGAGCTCAAGGAGAAAACTCTATGTACAAAGAACCACCTGGATTTCTAATTAAATACTATAAATTCATGTGTTTCTTTCTCTTCCCCTCTAAAATCTACTGAAATAGATTTCAGTAGAATCTATAAGAGAATGAGAATAAAATAAGATAAAGACCTTGAAAGGAGACAGCCAATGAGAAAAGACACCCTAAGTGTCTGCAGAAGTCAATTCTCACTATCTAGTTCTCAAAAGACTGCAAAATCGATACCTCCAAATGACTTCCCAAGACAATGGGGAGGCATGAGGATAAAATCTAGACTGGTTCAAAGACTAGGAAAAAAAAAAAAAATTCCCTAGGTCTCCAAACCATGACATACAGCAGCTGTAAGAAACTACAATTCCCCAACTACAGCAGGACAAAGAAGGCTAACTTCTAGAATAAAAAACCCAAAGTAGAATGACTTGAGCAATGGGAAGGAAAGAAAACCGAGGAATAAAGACCTATGTACCAAAAAGGGCCCCTCTGCAATTTCCTTTACTCCATCTTTACCAAGAACTTGGTAGATTCTTCCTTTTTTAAAAAAAAATTTTTAATAAAAATTTTTTAACATTTTATTTATTTTTGAGGCAGAGAGACAGAGAGCGAGTGGGGGAGGGACAGAGACAGGGAGACACAGAATCCAAAGCAGGCTCCAGGCTCTGAGCTGTCAGCACAGAGTCTGACACACACCCGAACTCACAAACTGTGAGATCGCGACCTGAGCCGAAGTCGGACGCCTGACCTACTGAGCCACCCGGCTGCCTGCCCTGGTAGATTCTTCTCTTAAATCAAAAGGTCCCGCAGGATGAAACATAAAGACCCTTGTCTGTTGATAAGCCCTAGCCTTATACATAAAGCTTCTAATCAGCTTTTCAGGGCCTCTCTCAAACATAATTCAATGAAAGAAAATATTTAGCATGACTGAAAAACAATACGCAGAAGCAAATTCAAAAGACAAAAATATTTACAACATGTATCATTAAAAAAAATACCCTTAATATATAAAGAACTCTTAAAATTTGTGGAAAACCAAGTATCAGTTAGAAAACTGGGCAAAAGTTTTAAACCAGTATTTCACCAAAAAAGCTATTTTCAACTGACCTTTCTTTAAACAAATGAAAAACTGGGGCACCTGGGTGGCTCAGTTGATTAAGCCTCCGACTTCAGCTCAGGTCATTGATCTCAAGGTTCATGGGTTCAAGCCCTGCATGGGGCTCTGTGTGCTGACAGCTCAGATCCGGGAGCCTGCTTTGGATTCTGTGTCTCCCTCTTGCTCTGCCCCTCCCCTGCTCCCACTGTTTCTCTCTTTCTCTCTCTCAAAAATAAACATTAAAAAAATTTTTTTGAATAAATGAAAAACTGCACAGTGTCAGAATAAAAGAAATATCCCCTCCTTTCTTAAGTTTATTTATTTTGAGAGAGAGTGAGTGAGCACAGGCAAAGGAGGGGCAGAGAGAGAGGGTAAGAGAGAGAGAATCCCAAGCAGGCTCTGCATTCTCAGCACAGAGCCCAAACCCACACATCAGAGACCATGACCTAAGCCAAAACCAAGAGTGGATGCTTAACTGACTGAGCCACCCAGGCACCCCAAGAAGCACTTTTCTCTTAAGTTCTTTTTCTTTATTCTCATTTTAGTGGGCTTTAGGAAGGAAAAGTAACACTTGTGTTCAATTCACTTTATTTAACTAAAAATCCAGGTCAGTTCTTTGTATATAACTGTTCTCTCTCCTTAGGCTTTACTTTATCTCTACATTTAAGATATCACTGCTTACCCGAAATTGGCAAAAACTCAAAAGCTTGACAACACACTGTTGGTGAGGCTGTGTGGAAACAAGCACTTTCATACATTGCTAGTAGGAGTGCAAATTTATACAACCTCTGCAGAGAGCAATCTGGCAATATGTAAATCAACTACATATGTATTTATCTTCTGGTCCAGCAATCCCATTTCTAGGATCTTACCCTGAAGGTATGTCCCCAAAATACAAAAAAATAAGTGCACACACAGAGGATTCTGGGAAGACAGCCGAGTAGGAAGCACTGGCAGAATCGGCCTCCCCACCTAAATGCTTGCATCTGTCTGAGGGAACTATTTTGGAACTCTGGAGACTACTGAAAGCTTGCAACTTCCAGGGGAAAAACCTGGACAGTACATTGTGGTTATTTTCAGCTCTTAGCACAGTAGCAGCCACCCTTCCCAGCCCAGCCCAGCCCAGCTACATGGCAGGCAGCAGTGCACTTATTCTTGGAGCAGCTTACACACACCCTGCAGGAACTCAGGGTGGACATAAAGGACTCTATCCTCCAAAAACTGGAACTCTGCACTCTGATTGCTGCTTCTGATTCAGGAGATACAGGAGATACAGACAAAGAGAAGGATACAGACAAAGTATCATTGTTTTGGACCTTCCCCATTTTAAGCCCCTCCCATTCTGGCTCAAGAAACTGTAAGGGGATTTAAAGGACCTACACCCCTTTCTCCCCCTTTATTTTTCTCTTTTTTGGAGCCAGACATTAAATATTAGGACATTCAAAAACAACTATATACACAGGGGAAATTAGAAAGGGACTGTACATGCCCAGGGCAGGTCTCAGAGAAGACCTTAAATTTATATCTCAGGCTGATGATCCTCAGAGACAGGCTAGAACACTCCCCCAAAAAACAATAATACAAAATAGCAGACACTGGGAAGAGGGGGAAAATCTGATTTCCAGAGTTACCACATTATTAGATTCAAATATCCAGTTTTCAACAACAAAAAACCCACAAAGCATACCAAAAACAAGAAAACAGAAAAGCATGGCTCCTTTAGAGGAAAAAAAAAATAAAACAAATTGTCCCTGAAAAAGATCTGATGACAGATTTACTAGGCAAAGATTTTTAAATGCCTATATCTTAAAGATGCTCAAAGAACTAAAGGAAGATGTAAAGAAGGTCAAGAAAATATGATCAAAATATGAATAAAATG